GGAGAGGGAAGCAAAACTGAACCTTTGAATTTTCTAGTTACTACCTAGAAAATTTCCAGACTGCAAGTATAAGTAAGGGAGGTTAAAGTGGCTTCAGAATAGGGCACAAGAGATGCAGAGAGAGATCCCCTTAAGTCTCTGGCTGAAAGTTGATCTATGAGGAAACTCCCGAGGCTGCAGGGGGAAGCAACTGGAAGGAAGGAGGAGGAGCAGTCCTGGGAGCCCGCAACAGACTGGAAAAACTGTATGTTGTATATTCAGAGTGGGAAGCCCTCCTAACATAATGAGCATCAGATAAGAATTCTCAGAAGGATTATTTCCTTAGTAGTGGAGTCAGCTCTAAACTAAAGACTATTCTGTACTCCCCTAACAAAGATTAAATTCTAGCCTCAGAAGGATCGCATTAATTTCAAGTAATTTATATTCTAGAATAAAGCTTAATGTTTAAAGGAGTACTAAAAGTTTTACAACATAATGTTAGGGACCCAATAAAAAAATTAGGCATGCAAAGAAACTGGAGAATATAATGGATAATTAAGGGGAAATTAATAAAAATTAAAAAAAAGATAGAGAGAAATAACCCAGGTGAAAGGATTAGTAGATAAAAAATGTTAAAATAGCTATTATAAATAAAAATGTTATTAAAAATATATAATAGAATAAAATCATTAAAAAGGATAAAATTGTCTTAATTCTTCTTTCCTACTCCAGGACTTTGCTCCTAAAATCTATTTTCTGTTTCTCTCCTGGATCAGTTATTTAAAGGGGTTGGTCACTAATTAGAGTAATTAGTTGATAAATTGGCAGTTTATCCTATGATTTTATTTTCTCTATGAAGTATGAGATGAGGTCATCACCTCAGAGTGAGGGGACCTTAAGAGAGACAAAGGTAAGTGTGGGAAAGCTAACCTACTAGAGAAATGTGGTAGTATTGGTGAATTAGCTGAGGGATATTTGTGGCCATTTAAAAGTGAGACCAGTTAGCCCTGATCAATTGTTTGGAGCTTCGTTGCTTGCGTCCAAAGGTCGCTGATTGGATTCCCAGTTCAGCCCTGGACCATTTGGGAGGCAACCAATCTGTCTCTCAATTTTAATCTCTCTTTCTCTCTCTTTTTCTCTCTCTCTCCCCCCCCTCCCCCTCTCCCTCCCTCTTTTCTTCTCTCCCTTTTCCTCCCTACCCTTTACCCTCTGCCTTCTACCTTCCTCTCTCTTTAAAATCAATGAAAACTTAAAAAAATAAATAAAAGTGAGACCAGTTAACTCATTTGGGCAATTGAATGTAAGTATTGAACTTGATTGAGTTCAAACACAAAGTAGGTATATAATTTTTTTCTAGGGTTACTCAGCAAATATGAAGAAGGAAAAGAGGATTGAGGCAATTCAAGTATTTGAGGTAGATTATCAGGATAATAAATCTTGGGATCTATTATAAACTGGCTAAGTAGGGAGAAAACAACAGGTATCTGATGAAAAGTGGGGAAGTGGTAGGACTCATTGGAACAGAGTTCTATGAAATAGCTTTGTTGGAGTAGGTGAAACTAAATCAGGGAGATAGTTGTTAAAGAGTGAGATGTTTAACTTTAGATTTTAGAGGTGGCATGATTATTAGTGAAAGCAAGATCTAGAGTATAATCACAGGAGTGGTGACTGAGGTAGAGAAAAGATTAGTGTGGGTGAGAAGGTCCATAGTACTAAATGTATTATCCATACAGACATTGTCACTAAGAATGATGCCAGAAATGTAGTAGCAGTTGAAAAGACCGTGAGTGCCCTAACCGGTTTGGCTCAGTGGATGGAGCGTCGGCCTGCGGACTCAAGGGTCCCAGGTTCGATTCCAGTCAAGGGCATGTATCTTGGTTGCAGGCACATACCCAGTGGGGTATGTACAGGAGGTAGCTGATTGGTGTTTCTCTCTCATCAATGTTTCTGACTCTCTATCCCTCTCTCTTCCTCTCTGTAAAAAATCAATTAAATATATATTAAGGGGGGGGGGGGGGAAAAGACAGTGAGCTCTGTGACTGAGAGAGTGTATATGATAGTTTTGGGGGGAGAGGCTGATGTATGAACTTCTGAAGGGTTATGATTTTTGAAAGGAAAACAATAAAAGGACTAGCAATGGAAAGGGAAGCAAGAGGATAAACACTTAACCCATCTGTTATTATGTGAGGCAAGGGAAAATAAATGGTTTCTGCTAGAAAGGACTATAGTGTAGGGAGTACTGTTTTTAGAAGACACTGACAGGTATCGGGTAGGGCAAGAAAATGAGGGAACATTGAAAGAAGTTGAGAGGGGAACCAAGATGGCGGTATAGGTAAACACTGGTACTGCCTCCCACAACCTCCCAAAATTACAACTAAAATACAGAACAACCATCATTTCACCTGAAAGCTGGTGAATGGATGTCCTAGAACTAAGAAGTAAAGAAGAAAGCACATTGAGACTGGTACGAGGGGCAGAAGCATGGAACAGGCTGGTCTGGCACTCACATGGGCCATTTTTTTTAATTCAGAGGGAGATTGTCCCTGTGGAGGCCATCAGGGGGAGCAAGGAGTCCCAGCTCTACACCCAATTCCATACTCAGGGCCCAGTGGGGATTGTGGCTAAAGGACGGGGAAGCTGCTGGAGACTTGGGTGTTCCTCTTAAAGGACTGAGCATGAACTTACTCAGACTCGCTTCCTCTGAGCTCCAGCAAACCAAAAAGGCATTGGGGGCTCAGACACATCCAGGAGAAACTGGATTATCGGGCAAGAACTTGGGGGCCCCTTTCCACCAGATGGGTCATTGTTATGCTGAGATCTCCCCTATCCCAGGGCTGACTGACAACCATATCTCAGTCCCCATCAACCTGGAGCACACTTGGTTCCACCCTGGTGATTCCCGAGACCCTGATTCATCCATTTTGAAGCACTATCCAAGCAGCAGCTTTTCCATGTGAATGGCCTGTTCTTATTCAGGCATCAGACTTGGCTAAAATTCTGTCAAACAAGCTTCAGCTGGTGACAGTGTTTCCCAAACCTATCAAAGGCCCAAGACTTAGCACTAGCACCAGCCTGCCTTGCTTCACAGCTGGGTCTTGCCTTGGGCACTTACAAAACCCAATACAAATAGGTGGAAGCTGCAGATCTCTCTGTAGCTCCTGCTGGGTGGTCCCAAGCAATGGCTGACTTTGCACTTCCCTAGAGACCCAAGAGCCAGTACTCCTGGTAGACAGCTTCAGACCATAGCAGATTATAACTACACACCCACAAGCAACACACTCAGTGGGCAGACTCAGAGCACCACAGCCCTAATGAAGCAAGTCCTGCTCCATAAGGGTGTTTCCTATATAGCAGCTTTTCCATTGTAGCCACAGCTGATCCTCATAACCAACTGGCGAAGTCAATTCCTCCCAGTAACAACAGCAATCGAGCCTTAATTACAAGACTGTGCACAGCCACAAAGGGGCACACCTAGAGTGCCCAGCTTAGGTGATTAGGGAGACTGAGCCACTGGGCCCTACGTGACACCTGCTATACAAGGCCACTCTACCAATTCCAAGAGACATAGCAGCTCTACCCAATACATATATAGAAACAAACAAACAGGGAAGCAGTCAATGAGAGATAAGCATTTCACAACTTGAAGAAAGCAAATTAATGAACACAGAATTCAAAACTACAGCTATAAGTTTACTCAGTGACCTTCATGAGACCTTCAAGAGACTTAGTGAGACTTTAAAGGATTATTAGTGAGAATGTCAAAGACATGAAATAGGACAAGTCAGAAATTAAGCATACACTAACTGAAATGAATAATTTACAGGGATTCAACAGAAAAGGATTCCAAGAATCAAATCAATTACTTGGAATATGAGGAAGCAAAAAACACTCAAGCAGAAGACCAAAAAGAATCCAAAATATGAAGATAGTATAATGAGCCTCTGGGAGAACTTCAAGTATACTAACATTCACATTATGGCAGTAACAGAAGGAGAAGAAAGAGAGCAAGATATTGGATACCTATTTGAAGAAATGACAGAAAACTTCCCCTGCTTGATGGGAGAAGCACAGAGTCCCAAACAAGAGGAACCTAAAGAGGCCCACACCAACACACATCATAATAAAATTGCCAAGGGATAAAGACAAAGACAGAATCTTAAAAGCAGCAAGAGGAAACAGTTAACTACCTTCAAAGGAGCGCCCATACAACTGTCAGCTGCTTTCTCAACAGAAACTGTGCAGGCCAGAAGGGAGTGGCAAGAAATATTCTAAGTGATGAATAGCAAGGACCTACAACCAAGATGACCCAGCAAAGCTATCATTTAGAATTAAAGGTCAGGTAAAGAGCTTCACAGACAAGAAAAAGCTAAAGGAGTTCATCACCAGCAAACCAGTATTACATGAAATCTTGAAGGTTATTCTTTAAGAAGAAGAAAAAGAAAAATATGAACAATAAAATAGTAATAAATACTTACCTGTCAATAATTGAATCTAAAAACTAAAATAAACGATTAAGAAATCCAATGAACAGAATAAACTGATGTATAAAATAGAATCAGAGGTGTGGAAATGGGACATACTTAAAATTCTCAGAGGGAATGAGGGTGGGGGGCAGGAAGAGATTAAGCAAAGGTCTTATATGCATACCTATATACTATTACTTATGAGCACAGACAGTAGGGTGACAAAGACCTGGGGTATGGTGGGAACTGGGTAGAGGGAAGACACGGGCGGGGGAGAAGGGGGTGGGGGGTGAGAGGGAGAGAGGGACATCTGTAATACTCTCAACAATAAAGACTTCAATAAAAATTTCAAAGAATACAATAATATATCTAGAAAAAAGTTGAGACATAAAGATGAGTTTACTTATAATATCTTTATTCTAGAGAACAGAATGGAAGATTTTGGGAAGGTGAGAAAAGAAAAAAAAAATGGATCAGACTGGGAATATTGAGATGAGAATGGTGATGAGAGCCAGGATAATGCAGTTAAGTCTTGAACTTTGTTGGTAATGGATATTAAGAATGGTGGGGTTTATCCAGCCAAACTCAGATGCACAGACAGTTCAAAATACCATTCTACCAGATATTCTGAACTGTACTGGACCACTCTTGCAGCTAGAGATATAATACCTGTAGGAAGTTCAACCCCACTAGATAGAAACTGGTGGCTCAGTGAACTGCAAGGAGTATCACTTCTGCTGCACAGTTGTGTAAATACCTTTACAATGAAGGATTTTTCTTTTTATACAGCATACTCGTTTCAGAACCTTTGGGGTTGCTATTGAATCTCTGCAAACTCTCCCTCCTCTACTGTAGTTCTCAACAGGCACAGGGACTTATTATACCATTGTATATTGGGTATGTGAAGGGAGATGGGTAGATACCTCTCTTTAGGTTCTTAAGAGTGATTTGTATTTGAGAAGCTGTACTTACAGAACTACATCTGAGAAGCCTCAGTGTACCTGAATCCAATGTCACTTTCAGGACATTCTGGAAAACTTAGGATGGTTTTGATAGTCACAATTTAGGGAAGACACTGTTGGGCCCAGGAACGGTGTAAGTTCCACCATGAAAAGGATTGTCCTGCAAAAACAAAGAATCACCCACATAACTTTTGACTATCCCATAGAATATCCCAGTAGGTGAAATTTGATGTAATTCAGGGCATTTGGACCTACAAATTCCTGTTAAAATATTAAAATGCCCTCTTTATTCTAAAAGATTTATAATTTCTTCTTAACTGGTCTCCCCACTTCATAGTTTTCAGATTTCTAAACCCCTCACAGTTATCAGGGTGTTCTTTTAAATATGTGAATCTGGCTATTACTTTGATACCTAAAAATCCTTAAATTGTTTATTTTTGTGGGAGAATAAAATGCAAAAGCTCCTTAATGAGCTTTAATGCCCTTGTCTTCCATATGCCAACTTTCCCTTAACTTTCCTTAAGTCGTGTATTACCTATTTATTGCTGCATAACAAATTACTCTCAAATTTAGCAGCTGAAGGAAAAAACAAACAATTTCTGAGGTCTAGGAGTCTTGGGCAGCTTACTGGGTAAGAGTGGCCCAGGGTCCTTCACAAGGTCTTAAGGGCTGCAGTCTTCTAAAGGCTTGAGCTCAATCACATAGTTGTTAGCAACCTCAATTCCTTATTGATTGGTACCCCACCATTCCTAATGAGCTTCTCCGTTATTGTATCGGTGTCATCACAGCATAGCAGCAGGCCGCACTTTAAGGGAGTGATACAAAACCCAGAGGTCACTTAAGACAGAAACTACCATCTTTTATGACCTAACTAGAGGCCCGGTGTACGAAATTTGGGCACTCGGGGTGGGGAGGTGTCCCTCAGCCTGGCCTGCACCCTCTCGCAGTCCAGGGAACAGGCCTAAGCCATCAGTCAGACATCCTTAGTGCTGCTGTGGAGGCAGGAGAGGTTCCGCAGCTGTAAGCCCAGCTTCTGGCTGATTAACGATCCCCCTATGGGAGCACACTCACCACCAGGGGGCAGCTCCTGCTTTGAGTGTGTGCTCCCTGGTGGTCAGTGTGTGTTATAGCGACCAGATGTTCCACCGTTTGGTTGTTTGCATAATAACCTTTTATATAGGATTTTGTAAGCTACATACCTTCACTTCTGTCATATGCTATTGGTCACATAAACCAACCCTGGTAAAAATGTAGGAGGGAACTATACAGGTTGTGAATGCCATGAGATAGGGATCATTGAAGGCTGGCTATCACAATCTCCACATGCAGAGTATTTTCAGCTCCTCCCAAAACCCACCAAAGTCTCATCCCATTACAGTATCAGGTCACAGTTCAGAGTACCCAAATTGGATTCAGGTGCAATGAGGCTTCTCAGATGTAGTTCTGTAAGTACAGCTTCTCAAATAACAAATTCCTCTCACCCTAAGAACCCACAGAGAGGTATCTGCCCCATCTCCTCATAGACTCGTTATATATACAATAATATTGGGTTAGGCTTAGGATAATTGTTATAAAACATTCCTATTCAGAGGAAGATAGAAGGTGGTGGGGGCAGAAGGCACAAGGGTCTGTGCCTACTGGTATATAGCATTTCTGAAATCCAGTCAGACAAATGATGGTAGTTCCTTGGTTGAGTATCATTTATCATTTCCTGGGAATAATTCACCATAGGCTCTCAGCTTTGCCCTTTGCATTTGGTTCTACCTTCTATTCACTTTTTCCTTTTCCATTAAAGGTAGAACATGTTTGTTACTGATTTTTCTTAGCTTACTTCCTGCCAAAATTTTTGGACTCTGAAGGCCTCTTTTTATTTTGGATCATCTCTTGTCTCTCAGTTCAAGCTGGCAGTGCTCCTAAATACCGTGTTTCCCCGAAAATAAGACATCCTCCGAAAATAAGACCTATTTACAGGTTTCCTTCTGAGTGAAATATAAGGCATCCCCCCCGAAAATAAGGCCCCCTAGGCTCTGTCTCAGAATGCTATTGCTAAACATTAGAGATTTGGTCCACTGATTCTGAAAGAAATGGAGTCACAAGAAATTCACCAGGAAATTCAGGAATTGAATTGTTATTATGATGTTCCAGAAGATGATGACATGATTGTCATTGAATAAATGAGTAAATTCTTGATACTGTAGGATTCACAGTTTGTCTGGTTTGTGTTGACAACTACTGTACTACCGTACCGTATACGGGTAATAAATTTCCTTTATTTTCATTTAACAATAAATGTGTACCGTATTCTTCTTCATGAAAAAATAAGACATCCCCTGAAAATAAGACCTAGCTCATCTTTGGGAGCAAAAATTAATATAAGACACTGTCTTACTTTCAGGGAAACAGGGTATGTATTTCTCTTTAAAAACTCATGAATATTATTGAGGTCTGTTCTATTATTTGGAAAGCCACATCCATAAGTGCCTTTGAGATAAGCCTCTCACTACCTTGAGCTTCTGCTGGAGACAACACTACCCTTAAACTTTCTAAAATTTAGCTTCATTGAAAAAAATCTTTGAAGCACTTAGTCCTCTTCAGCAGGCCTTTTGTCTGAAGTACCATCTCTGATCTTTCTGAAATCTTAGAATATTTTCAGTCACTCCCTTGGCTTAGTTTTTTTAGACCATTATTATTATTATTTTTGTCAGTACCCTTCATTTGATCGTGGCTCAGAATCCTTGCTAAATTTTAGCATTGTTTGCAATCGAGAGAGACTACAAATTTTCAAAATCAAGTCCTGGCTCATATTTACAATATATATCACATCTTGTAAATAAGGCAATGCTTTCAAGTTTCTGGTTGAAAATCACCTTAGCCAGATAACACAATTCATTAGGTAAACTTTCTACTTTTCACATAACTACTAAAGGTAGCAGTGTTACTAAATTTTCTGCTCTCACCTGTAGCTTTGTAAAATACCTTAAGGCTTTGGTCTAGTTCCAAAGCCATCCCAACAATTTAGATTTCTGTTACAGAGAGGACTCTCAGTACCAACATATGTGTTAGTAATCTTTTGCTACAAAACTACTTACCTTTAATTTATCAGCTTACAACATCAATCTGAGAGTTTCTGAGGATCAGGAATCTGGGTGGCTTTACTGGGTCTTTCTGCTCAATTAACTATTGTACTTAATGTTGTCTTAGTTCCTCACTCTGCCTTTGCTTGCACCGCCCCTTTTTACCCCAATGTCTTTCCTGTATTCACTCTGTTTGCTGTCAACTTATATGAAGACTTTCTTGGTTTGCCCTTTTTAAGCCCTATGATACATCCACACTTTAAGAAAATGTATGTTGCTATGAAAAAAGCTCATAGATTTATTGAATTTTGAGTCCCTTCTTCAGTTGCCTTGGCAGTGCCAGACCAAATGATTTCACAGGCTGGACATTGCCCACCCTTGCTTTATATGATGATTTCTTACAAGACCTTTCAAAGCAGAAACAATGTTGTAACTTAAAAGACAATATTGTTCTGGCACAAATCTTTCTTTAATAAATGTTTTAATAGTTATGGAAAAATATAGCTACTTATTTGGGTTTGAAAAATGAGAATCAGATACCTGTTTGAACTTTTGGAGTAAGGCTAATTGAAGTAGGATTTAAGGTATTTTTTTTGTAAGATTGGGAAGGATGTGACATTCTAATAATTTAAGCCAGAAAAAAATGTCATGGCAGTTCCAAAATTATGATTTGTGAAATACTGTGCTAAAGTACGTATATTGTGTTAACAAATATTTATAAACTTACGAAGTATAATGCTAAGTAATATATTATGGAGTCCACAGACATCTTTTCCTTCAAGGAGCTTATACTTCGTATAGTAAGTAGACCATGATCTGGGACAATCTTTTTAAAAGGTAAATATTAGAAATATCTATTTTTACTTTGGGTAGTTTATGTAATCATATAAGTAAAATCAAAATCAGACATTCTAACATTCTTACATGAAAATTCCTTTTTTCTGATCTGAAAGTGTTAATGAAAATGAAGATTTTGGTTGCAATTGCCTTTTTATTACCTTAAAGTTTCCTTTACATCTACTGTAGGTGACATCTTTACACTTTATATGAGAATCCTATGTGAATTTCTCCCCTTGGTAAGTTTTTCTTTATCATGTAATTTCAATACAAGAAAAGCAATCTATTTTTCTGTATACCAGGAAATGCCATATAATCAACTCTATAAAAATATACTCCTAGATTTATTTGTATTGTGTTTTTAAACACACTATTTAAAAACATCTTATTGAACTCTTATCTTTCATCTCAACTTTTATGCTGTGGTTTTGTAGCATACACTTCAGAAATTTCTGCTAACTTTTGTAGTGATGAGGACTGTTTTGTTTTTCTCAGGATGGGGTCGAATAAGAAATGCTTATGATAAAATTAAGATTTCTCCTGGTGTTTCTATTTTTAGGGTTGGATTTTTCATATAAAATTATTCTTATTTATATCTAAAACATTTTCATGGATGCCTAATACTTCGTATCACTAACAAGAAATCAATTAAATAACTATAATGTTTCTTTATTTCTGGGCTCAGCTAAGTTAAATCCTCTCTGGAATAAATCTTAAATTTGGATTTAAAAAATCTGCAATTTCTAAGATTATTCCCAATATATGTGTATTTTTTAGAAGTATTACTGAGGCCTCTTAAGAGTCATTCTTGTGTTATAAATATGTAGCATATTGGTGTTATGCTGTCAAAGTGGCTTATATACTAGACCTTATTATGTGTTCTAGCCCATACCTCTTTTTTTAAAAGGTAATTAACATTTAAAACTTTATTTATCATTAGTAAAATTTAATGAATAGTAAAAGCAGTGTTTGACTTTTTTTTCCAAGAAAAATGTTCTTAAATATGATAATGTTACATGCAATAAACACCAAATATTCAAGAAAAATGACCTTACATATAATAATTGCATGCAATAAACATTAATATTTCAAGGATAAAAGGATTTTAAGTGTAATAATATTACCAAAACTGCTAACATAGTATATCACAAAAGTTGTAGGAAATATTAAAAGATCTGCAAAATAGCAGAATTACTTCTATTATATTCTAGTATATTGCGTCCTCTCCCTCCTCCTCCCCCCAAAGGGGGGCTCTTTTTTGTTTGCATTAGTTTCTGTTGTTCATTATATTCCACAAATGAGTGAGATCATATGATATTTATCTTTCTCTGACTGGGTTATTTTGTTTAGCATGATGCTTTTAAAGTCTGTTTTGTCAGATATAGGTATTTCTACTCCAGCTTTTTTTTTTTTTTTTTTTTTTTTTTCTTTTCCATTTGCATGGATAATTTCCCATCTCCTTACTTTCACCCTATATGTGTCTTTTGTTTGGAGGTAGGTCTCTTGTAGATTGCATATAGTTGGGTCATGTTTTTGTATCCATTCAGCTACCCTACACATTTGATTGGAGAATTTAATCCATTTACATTTAGAGTTATTGAGAGGTTACTTATTTATAGCCGTTTTTATTCTGTATGGCTAGGTTTCTCTGTTTCTTCTCAGCAATTTCTTACAGCAGTACCTTTAGTATTTCTTATAATGCTGGCTTGATGGTGATAAACTCCTTTAGCCTTTTTTTTTTTTTTTTGTCCGTGAAGCTCTTTATTTGACCGTCTATTTTGAATGATAGCCTTGCTGGATACAGTAATCGTGGTCTCAGATCCTTGCTTCCCATTACCTTGAATACATCTCTTTATTCCCTTCTGGCCTGTGTTTCTGATGAAAAATCAAGTCTCAGCGTTATGGGAACTCCTTTGTATGTAACAGTTTTCTCTTGCTGCCTTTAAGATTCTCTCTTTGTCTTTAATTTTTGGCATTTTAACCTGTTAACCGAGCGGGACCTATGAATACGTCAAACGTAAACAATATCGGGAACAGGTAGGACGTATGAATACGTCCTTGAAATATATGTTGCGCCCCGAGAGGGACGGTATATATT